TATATATATATCTAAAACCCATAAAAGAACCATGTCTTGACAAGATATACTTATCACTTTCTAATACTTGTTTGTAACCACAATTATTCAATACAATTTCAGACACGAGATTCTTTCGAACACCCGTCACATATAAAACATTGTTCAGACACAAAAACTTTCCAAAAGTAAAATAAAGCAAAACAGATATTAAACCCTTGATTGGTTTAGTAGCAACATTTCCCATTTTCACCATAGATCCATCTTCTATTGGTTGAAATTCTTTGAACCAATGAAGATCTTTACATATATGGCTTGTTGCTCCCGAATCAACCCACCATGCAACATCATCATCCTAAACATAAAATGCTTTAGAAATCACAGAAATATAAATCTTAACATATTTAGAACTCTACATGAAAACATAAAACTAACCTTGTTTCCTTTATGGATCCTTGGATCCACTTGATCCAACACAGTCCTTATTTCACTTTACGAAGACTACAATATTTCTTGAAGTTACCCGATTTGTTACAATTCCAGCAAACCTCTTTTGCTTTCTTGTTGGAAGACTTATCATCCTTTCCTTTAAACTTCCTTTTTCCCTTAGACTTCTAGGAATTCTTTGAACTTTCTCCTTCAATCATGCTCACAGAAGAGGAACCAACTTGATTATTTCCTTTTCAGATTGTTATCAAGTTCTTGAGTCCTTAATGAATCTTCAATCTGTAAATGGCTTCCAAGTTGAGTCAAAGTTAATTCCTCTTTGTTATGTTTTAGATTGTGTTTAAAATCTTTACAGGAAGGGGCAGTTTATCAATAATCATAGCCACATAAATGGCTTCATCCATTTTCAGATTGTGTTGAGCAAACTGTCCTAAAATCCGTAATATTTTGTGGAATTGTTCCATAACATGCCTAGAGTCATACATCTTGTAACCCATAAAGTTACTGACAAGAAGATTCTTACTTGAAGCATCTTCAGTCATGTACTTAGATTCAAGAGAATCTCACAGTTCTTTTGCAGTTTCAACATTTTGATAGATATAAAATAGAGAATCAGACATAGCATTGAGAATATGACCACAACAGATGTAGTCATCATTGTCCCACTTTAATCTTCTTCTTGTTTCATCCAAAGTTTCATCTTCAGCAAATTCTGGCATGGGTGTAGTCAAAACATACACCACTTTCAGAGTAGTAAGGTGAAAATGCATCTTCTTTTGCCATCTACGAAAATCTTGCCCTTCAAGCTTGTTTAGTTTATCAAACTTGCTTGTCATATCTTTCACAGAATCGTCACTAGCCATGATCATAAATACTTCGATTTTTGTTAGAAATATGCTTCTACTTCTGTTGGTGATTTGGGATTCAATGCACTTGAAATTTCTGAGATTGTGACTGAAACTTTCAAAATTGTGTTCTTTAACGTATTTTACCATATCTTCTTAAAAACCGTCACAAGACAATTACAACGTTCGAAAAACTGACACAAAACGGGCTTTTAACCATTGGATAATTAGTTTAACCAACAAATGTCCACCAACAGTCAAAACTGACACAAAATTGTCGTTTTAACCATTGGATATAACACCGAACAACACGTGTTCCAATGTGAAATTTCTGATGCATAGCGTTCCAACGAGTTGTGATCAATCGCAATTGAATTGTGGTAACATGTTATCCAATGCGAAAGTTTCGATGCGTTGTGTTCCAACGAGTTAAGATCAACCACAATTGAACAGTAACCACTTTCGTTACGAAAATGCATTCGCATCGCAATCAGTTTCAGTTACTAAATCACATTCACATCACAATCAGGTCTGAGATCAATTTCGTTCCAAAATCAATTTCAGTATGAGACCAATTTCACTTTCAGATCAATTCAATTCCGAAGTCATTTTCAGTCCGATGCCAATTACATTCCGAGATCAATTTTGGTTCCAATATCAGTACTTCACACATTCCTTACTTGTTTAATATTCATCAAGATTGATTTGGTCAACAAATCCATCCATTACACTTAAATACACTTAGTGAAACAATTCACTATGGTCAACTGGTTATTAAAATACAAAAAAAAATATTGGTGTATCGATATAGTTATCTATTAGATGAGCCTTAAATATTTTAAATTCTACTATATATTATTTCTATTTCAAGAATAAGGGCCTAAAAATAAACATAATTATTAATGAAAATAGTAGTAAAAGTTGATATTTATTAATAGACCATATCTATTAATAAATTTTGGTGAAATAAATTGTGATCAAATAATGTTTGGTGTTTTTCGGAACCAACATACGTTTATTAAGAAATGAAGGGAGATGAAAACCCAACCTCACATTATAAGACAGGGAGAAAGAAACAAGACCTCACCACAACATAGATAAATTGACCTCCCTTATACTACTTTACATAAGTGGATTAATACACTAATCTGGCCAATTATATACTTCATTATTTTTTCTATGTTTGAACCACAAGAACACCAATGATTGGACAATGTATACAATCTTTGTTGATGCAATCCTTGATTGATTAAAGGTTCTATCATTTCTCGTTTTGCACATACATCAAATCATTCCATAGTAGATACCCTCCAAGACCTTTTTCTTTTTTGGAGAATTCCCCTATGTCACTGTAAATTCTAGAACTTCAGTCGTGTTATCAAATAAGGGCATCGAAATATCACACCATCTGAAGATCCATTCGTGTGTATTTTTGGCAAAGGGGCACATGCATCGTAGGTGGTCATATGACTCCTCTACTAAATTACACCCACCATCCATAAAAGATGAAATATCAATTTCACGATTCTTGAGTGCCACTACAAAGGGAATATAGTTTTGAACTGCCCACCAAAAAGACACGAAACTTTTGTAGAAACTTTTTTAAGCTGCATAAAGGAGTTGCATCCGATCCACTGTCAGACTTTATCATCCTCCTTCTACATGCTGCAACTGAGAATTGCCCGTTTGAATCTAGTTCACATGACCATGAATCACTGCTTGAGTTTAGACGAGTTGTTCCAAGGATTTGCATCAGTTGGTTCACATACCGTGGCTCAGGTTGACTAGCCCAAAACCATGAAAATTCATCATCATATATTCGATCTGAGATCTTGAATTTCTTATGCGACTCCAAACAATATAGATCAGAAAAAACAAGTTGTAGTGGTCTGTTTCCAATCCAATCATCCTTCCAAAATAACGTGTCATCTCCAGAATTAACCGTTCTTTTGATAATAGTACTCATTTGAATGCGTTGCTTTAGCTAACATGACCTTCATTCAGGATATATTGTTCCACACCCGCGTTGTAGATTTGTTAGATAGCTCATATGGTGATCTCGGAATACGTAATTAAATCATTAAATGGCCTTTAGTTATCCCAGAATACCTAACTAAAACATAAGTTTATACTTTCCATATTATTTTCCTACAAATCATCTTATTTTTAAAAAAAAATTAACTTAAAATCATATAAAATTACCCAATCATTCCGATAAATTAATCCCCATGAACCAGGAATCAATTTTTTTTGACCTATTTAAGATTTCTTTATTAAAAGCCTTATAAGCTTATTAGTATCAACTTAAATATCTTTTTTTAACTCAATTTATTTGTGAAAACACATGTGGACAAACATGGTGCGTAATTATTTTAGCCATATGTGTCAAATTCAATAAAAGTATGACATTTTTCTAAAATAAATTTAGTTTATTTGGGTAGATTTTTATTAAGATGACATCATAAATATTACACACACATA